TGTGTGTGTGTATGTATGTATGTATATTGGTACTATAAGAAGAAATTCTGTCTTGGTCACTCATGGGAGTGAAAGAGTTAAAACTGCTCAGTGCTCAAAATTACATCATTCTGAAAGTGACTGATTTGAGTGGACACCATAACTTGTCAATCAGGTAGTATAATAATTATTGTCAAGATTTTCAGCAAGTGACACCTCATTTCTTGACCCATTAATCCCCATGAGTGGCCAAGGCAGACTTTCTCCTAACAGTATCTATACAATTTTATCAAGCAGGAAAGAGATTCATTAGAATAGAGATTCCCTAGAATAAAGAAAAATTTAAATTAGGAAATTATTGATCCAATCCCAAATTCTCCAAGTAACATTGAAGAATTTTATGGTAGGAAGAAAGGAGAATTACTAATGAGGTTTCAAACTGAGAGAGCAAACAGCAAGATTTAAAAAAATATGAAGTATTTGAGCAAAATAATACAAATATACAACGTACCTGTAAAGAAGTCAATAATTTTAAAATAGCCTCTAGATCTTTCTCATCCAAACTAAATTCAGGACCATAGTCAGTCTAAAAGGAGAAACAAAAATTAGTTAAAACATATGGATTGCACCAAAGACTTTCTGTCTCTTTCAATTATTGCAAACCAGTAACAATTAGGTATTACCCATGTAAGAATATTCCTGACATCTTTTTTGGTAGGATCTGTAGGCTTTATTAAGAAAAACTGCTTCCTTAAACGCCAACCTGAAAGATGCATTGAACATCAGTGTGAATGAAAAACAATTCCTTTTTTAACTTTTCCATCCTATAAAGAGTGACTAGAATCTTATTTCTCACAAATTAACCCTTTTACTCTCAAGATCTAATTCATCGGGGATTTCATTAATTTCAGAAATAGGCATATATTAGGACACGAGTAGGCAGAAGACAGTTCAGCAGAAATCAAGGCAGATTTGTCACCAGTCTTTCTCTTTTGTCCATTCAACATGGCACACAGTGAACTGATCATGTCATTGATTGAATTGTTAGAACCTGTTACAAAAATCCCCAACAACCAAAAAGGACACAAAATATCAAAAAGACACCTTTATTACTGACTGCCTTTAAAATATATTGAATGTTTTCCGAAAAACACAGAAAAACTGGGAAGTGGAATGGCCATAGTAGCCAGCTCTGTTGTGCAGAGCAGCCACTGGAGTTTGCCAATTGCCAGCTGCTGAAGAAATCCCTGATTAGTATATTAAATTCTACTTGCTGTCTGCTAGACAATTCTTGATGTTAATTTAGAGAATTAGGTATTGGATCAACTGATAATCCTCTGATTTTTTTTTTTTCCTGCTCTCTTTACTCATCTACTTGATATTGTATTCAGATATTGTGTGGAGAAATTCTGTCTTGATCACAATAACAATAAGGTCACGTTAAATAAAGGGAATGATCACCACCTAAAAGAAGCTACATGTATTGATTGTTAACCAAATTCTCTGGTGAGCACCTTATGAATTGTTTGGGGAGTAAAGTGTGGAGATGATAAACACTAATGTAAGGGTGTAAACAGTAATCTATGACACTAAAAGACATTGCAAAAGATTTCCCTTTACAAGCAAAAATCAAATTTTGAAGAGACTAAATATAATTATATTCTTACTATTCTTTAAAATTTTGATAAGTAGTTTTTAAGGAAAGCTTTTCAAGATAAAAATTAGTGATAATAATTTTGAACGACATTTCGACCTCACTGAGGTCATTTTCAAGCTGATGAAAAGGAAATTTTTACATAATTATATGTACTAAATTCAAGACGTGGGATTGATAAGGGCGATAAAATATGGAAATATGTAAACGCTTATCACTTCTATTTTATGCCCATCACTTCTATTTTACGCTTATCACTATTAATTTTTATGCCTATCACTTCTATTTTATGCTTATCACTTCCATTTTATGCCTAGCGTTTACATATTTCCATAATTTAACGGCTTTATCATTTCCACGTCTTGAATTTAGTACATATATGTAAAAATTTTCCTTTTCATCAGCTTGAAAATTACCTCAGCGAGATCAAAACATTGTTCAAAATTATTATCACTAAGTTTTACTATTCTTTAGAATTCAAAATAAAAAACTCACCAACATCAGGTAAGGGCTCCACTATTTCCCAATTGGGAACTGACCTCAAGAACATAGCTACATTTTGCATGGCTATTTCTATAAGAAGAATACAGTCAGTCAGTTTTCAAGCAAAGGCTAATTAACTCTTTAACTCCTACATGTAAGATCTGATTGTTACTTCTCCCCTTTAGCTGCTACACATTTCCTTGTCAATTAATAAGGAGAATTTGGTGTTACATCAAGATGCCACCTTCTAGCTGATAAAATTGAGTATTCTCACTAACAGTACTGTTTGCAGATAATTTATGGATATTATAAGGAGAAAATGACATGTTAATCACTTCTGGTAGTTAAAGGGTTGAGAAAACAAGACTGATAAAAAATTGAATAGTGTTTTTATGAAAAAAGCTTCATTAGCCCTAACTGAACCTTATATACCTTATACACTATTATTATCTGACTCGGGCAGTCAGAGGGCCAATAAATAAAATCAACCAATCAAAATGCTCGATTGCTGGTCCAATATTCTCTAAGTATTGGACTGGACACTGTCCCGGATGGTCCCGAATGATACTGCACTTGTGTACCTTTGAACTTCAGTCGTATAATAAATCTCTTATTAACCAAGCTTGCTTGGGACCGTACTGGAAGAATATCGGCCCTAGGTCTTTTTTGTAAGGACCTTGCCGCATTCGGTCCGTACTGTCAAGACCTCGGGCCGATATTCTCCCAGTACGGCCCTCGCACTTGGTTAATAAGATATATGTATTAAAAAAAATTAATACTTATTAAAAACCACTTATTAAGGGAATCCCAGTAACAAGAAATTGGACTTTTGAACAAAGCATTGTGCCTAATGCAATGAGTGTGAAATTCAGACCACTCATTTTAAAGACAACTGTACAAATTGCAATGTAAGGGAAGATACAGCTGTACATAAGTAACCCATCGAGTTGTCAAGATGGATGTATTCATGGAAAAATCACCTCGAAAGTCTTGTGAGTAATTTGCTGGATCAAGGAATCTCTTCACAGAAATGTGTCGCGCTAAAATTGGGTGGGCCAATATAAAGTTTATATAATTCTGAAAGACAAAAAAAAAAAAGAATTATATAACACTGGATTACAAACAAGTCAACTTGTGTAAATTTATGTTAATTTTATATAGTTCATAGGAATTGAAGACATGGCTAGTCTTGCATGACGTATGAACTGACCAAAAGTCCAGTTGCAATTCCCAACAATTATTATAATGGTGATATTCACAAAATAATACCAAAATACAGAGTCATCCCAAATTCTCGCTGACTTAACATTAATTTTTTCATCCTGGTCAACACCATCATCAACCTCGTCCAAGGCTCGGCACTAATGGTAGCCCACTAGCCACAGACTAGTAGAAATTCAATTTCAGCAATAGTGGTTTTTTCATTTCCACTAGCCAGTTTGGCTTAAGTAAACAAACTAAAATTGTCATAACATCGAAGATGTCACTGGCCACTTGGCTAGTAAGTTGAAAAGTTAAGTGTTGAGCCCTGCTTTCACCCTTTAACTCTAAGAGTGACTTGCTTTTAATTTATCCCTACAATATGTAATCTAAATGAATGCAACATTTTTTCTTGTTGGCTTTTTTTTTTCTCCTTTTCACGTATTTGGAGTTCATTTATGAAGTCTTTTCGCTCTGTAATGATTATACTTATTGTTTCATTAGCGCTTTTCTATGTCATTTCGTTGCCACCTTGTTATTACTTTGTGCTAGCTGCATAATTAACATCATGCAATATAGCTTCATGTTTTCTCATTTTCGCTACGTGCAGTTTTGCAATGTTTCTGCAGCCATAACAAAATTAAGTATTTCATAGTCCTCATTCCATTATGTTGTTCATTATTTCTTTAAGTTGTATATGATGTACCTTTTGTAACTGTTTGAATTTTCTTTAGTTTCAACCAAGGTCAGCTGATCAGGATTAGAATGAATCATGTTTACAGTATGTGAAAGACGCGGAGTTGTTGATTTTAGAGCCGCAGACCACAGGTTTCACATAATCAGTTTCACAGTCTTAATGTTGAATGAATCATTACGATCATGAGAATGAAGGAAATCATTCCCAACAAAAGAATATTTGATTGTTCAACAAATTCTCCTTGTCAGTGCCAAAGGAAATAATAATAATAATAATAACAATAATAATAATAATAATAATAATAATATACGTTAGTTGAGGCTCCTCCATCGGGACTTTTCAGCCACAGTGTAGTTTTAACTAAGTGCTTAAAAATCCCCACTGGCAGGAGTTGACCAGTGAGCTATTTACAGAGCACAGCCGAGGAGTTGAACCAGGGGCAACCAAGAACAAATCCAGTGAGTGGCAGGGTGGAGGACTTGAACCCGGGCCACTGGATTTCAAGTCCAGCACCCTAACCACTCGGCCAAGCCGCCTCCAAAATGTATACAGAACAGTTCAGAGAATATCCATACCAATGTTAGGGTGTATAGGGGTTAACTGCCAACCGCAAATGCAAATTTATGTATTATTATTCAGAATTTTTTAACCTTGTTTTGAGGTCAGGGGCCCGTTTCTCGAAAGTCCCGGTAACTTAATGGGCCCAAAGCCATCTTTTAAAATAAAAATTTAAAAGACAGGAAAGCAGGTTATGGCACCCAAACCAGTGCTTTTTGTTTCTTTAGCTGATAGTTTTATTGTATCATTTTCAAAACTTTTGAAATTCCCATCTTGAATGAAAACGGGACAGCTTTACGGGTCCGTTAAGTTAGTGGGACTTTCAAGAAACGGGCCCCTGAGGGCCCAGTTTTTCAAAGTCCAATTAGCACTAACCCTGGTTGGAATGTTAATCCAGGTTTCTTTATTCCCTCCTTCTAAAACCTTTTTTGGATAACTTCCTCCATTCTTTTTAGGGTGTCCAATCATCAAATTGTAGACAAAAGGAATGATATTGAATTTTCTTTTAAAGCTTTCAGATCTGAAATCAGATTTCCCACTAACACTGGGTTATCTTAACCCAGCTTTGAACAACTTGGCCCAGTTTTTTATTTTACAATTACTCCAGTTCCACTTTACTTGCTAACTTTTGATGTAAAGAGTACGTCATGAAGGCACACAAAATGCAAATTGCATGACCTACTGAGTACGTTATGCAGGTAATAAAGGGGAAAAGAACTGCCCTGCTCCCCTGTTCCTTTCTCGTCTCCCATATCCCACCCATCTCTTTATCTACTAAGCTTTTTCCCCCCTGTTCCCTCCCATCTACAAGTTAAGACTGTAAATTTTACCAACTGAAAGAACCCCCCTCTCCATGCTAGATCAAGTGGCAGATTCTGTGTTCTATTTTTGCATACCTGAAGACCTTGCTGTCGCTCTGCAATGAATGCTGCATCCATATTACCAAATACCTTTTTAGGTGGCATTGGAAGATCAATACCTGAGACCTGAGAAGAGAAGAAAACAATATCATATAATAGGCTGGTTACTGAAAACAAAGTTTCTAAGCCATAGTTTAACAAAACCGTGTTCCAAACTTTCTTGAATCTTTTATCTGAATGTTTATTTTTGTGAAAGATTCAAGAAGACTGAAAGCTAGCAGTAGAAGGACATTTATTAAATGAAAACAACCCTCTTATAGAGAATATGTAAGGCCCATCGCTTAGGTAAAAGTGCTGTTTGGGTTGGACATTGCCGAAATAATGGGTCCAAGGTTTTTAAATTTAAGATCAAATATTGAAGAAATGAGTGCAACTGAAATAATATTACAAAACAAAGATAAAATGATCAGTTTGCATCAAATTTATTATTCAACTCAAAATAACACTTATAAGACATGTTTTGGCATGACTCCTGCTGTCAAAAATTTATCGCATTGAAGGTGTTTTACTTTGTTTTTCAAGTTACATTACAACTAAGTTGCAACTTCAAATTAAATAACGAGGTTTGAAATTAGAGTACTGCTACAGTAGTTCACCTAGACATGTATTTATATAGCAATGAACAGTGTTGGCCTGGTCTAGAATCTTACAGTGCTCATTCGAACATTATTTTTGTCCTACAACTAGGAAAGGTGCAAAAGTGCTTGTGAATATGTACTTTCTTGTCTGTCAATACAAAATGTTCATGTTCTTTAACCCAAGTGGAAAATAGGGCAAGTTGTCTTGCCAATTTAACATGAGTTCCACCCTGTACATGTAAATCAACAAATAACTACAGATTTCAAGGTATTTGGAAAAGGATCTTTAGAGCTTTAATTCTTTTCTATTAATTTTTGAAAAAGGTTATAGGACAATTTCCTTAAGATCCTATTCAAGATGCCTCAAAGTCCCTAGTATAATGGTTATCATTGGGATCTTTTCTATTTTTATCTCTCATGGTCCACATTTACATCACTGCTACCATGGCAACTGATTCTTGAGGTCATGCATTGCGGGTTTTGTACTTTTTATCATAGAGAGTCGATGAAAAGGTGGTTCCAGTTGACTTGTGTTTCTGTTCTTCTTTCAATCAATGCTATAATTAGATATTCATCCTGTCTTTAAAAAATTATCGTGAGTTCGAAATTTAGCTAGATGAAATTATTTTCACAAAGTCATGGGAGTAACAGTGCATATGCATTCATTCTGCAAGGTTTGCATATTTTTCTTGGAACCAGTTATCATATCATTCATGTACTACACCAGTAAATTTGTTCAGAGAAAAAAACAAACCTCTAGGGTTGCCTGCAGAGTGACAAAGTCACTATACCGGTGTACAACCTTGGAAAAAAAAATTTTTTTTGATCATTAGTAAAGTAATGGCTACTCTGCAGCTTTACACAAACGATCTCTATCTTTATCATTACGATGTTATGCTGCCTCTCGCTTTAAAACTGCGTCAAGCAGTACTTAGTATTTCATATTCATTCTCAACATCACGGTTTCTTTCACCTCAAAATCAAACTAAACAGCATTTAATCATTGCCTCTTCATCTTTTACCACATCTAAATTCAAAATCAACTTCCACATGTATGTTTGTACAAGCTCTGTAATTATTAATTGCTGCAATCTATATGAGGCTTGTTACAGTTTCGGAAGAGCTCACCTGAATTATCGGGAAAAAAGTGCAGCTTATCTCGATCAGACGCAGATCTCCAAGGAGGTCATTACGAACATTAACAAGTACCTGGGAAATCTACAACCGGCGATTTCTGAAAATAATTTTATAGCTGCATTTATGTAAAGCTTAACTAACCTGCCAAGAATCATCTTGATTGATTCCCCTTTGAACTTTCATGATGTAATCCTATGAGGTAAACCAACGAGGAAAACATATCTAGCATGCGAATATATGGAAAATAAGTGCTCACGTTATCGGCTAGCTGTACTGTAACTCTTACCACATGGTCTTTCTTGGCAATTCCCTGGATTGTGCAGATCATCGGTGTTGTGTCATTGATGGCATTCCGTTTTCTAGGTACTACAGCCATTTCTAGTAGAGGGTTGTAAGAAACAGCTGAATCACAGCCGTCAGATGGTGAAGTAATGCGTTTGAATCTGTCACGCCGGGAGGTTCATCTTCTTTACAAGAACACTGGGAACAAGCTTTAGGGCTCATGCCAGCAGTGATTAGTTCGAAATCAAGCGCATGCGCTTGCGACCAGTTTGGCGGGAAGAGTGCGGGAAAAGATGAAAACATTTGAGTCATCTTCGAAATACATCTATGTCAAAATTTTGTGGCATTCCTACAGTTAAAGGGGAGTGTTCTACAAAACGATAATGCCCAAAGCAAAGGATAAGACTAAAAGAAGAAGAATCGAAGAGCTAGAGGTATGTTATCACTATACGTGTGTGGATCGCTGCGAAGTGTGATCTAAAATCTGATGTTTCATAATTTTCTGCAGGAAGATTCGCAGCCCAGCCAATCCCAAAGACGTAGAGCAAGGTACGCCTTTATTTGTTGTTAGATGAATTTTTATTTGTATTTTTTTTCTCGCATAAGGAAGGTTCAGTTGAAAAGGCTCTCCCCATTCGTGCGCGTGCAATGGACTAAGAAAGCCATCAGTGTACTTGGAACCAACTGTGACGTGATTTGCGATCATGCACTCTCGGTCAAATTATCTTGAGGAAAGTGATCACTCTTGCAAAGATCGACAAATAAATGTCATGTTGCATTTATCTTATAATTCTCTTGAATCCAACAGCCAGCTAACAGTTGACGATGAAATAGAAGAGGTCGACTGCACACAGCCTGGAAAATCTCAGAGTCAGAAAACACAAAATCACAAAGAACTCTCCAAAGAAGAACTGAGGAGAAAGGTATTTAACCCCTTTAATCCGTAAGAGTGATTTGTATCTTAATTCTCTTAACAGTGTTACCCCCGAATCGAACATTAAAGTCATGAGAATAAAGAAAATAATCACCAACCAAAGAAGCTATTTATTGTTGAACAAATTCTCCTTGTCAGCACCTTAGGAAATGTATAGAGAACAGTATGGAGAATATGCATACTGATGTAAGAGTTTAAAGTGTTAAAATGTCTTCATATGATAAGCAGAATTAAACACACATTTTGATTGTTTTTTACTTATGATTGGAGGACATATGCACAGATGACATCACTATTAACAACATTTTTGCATTTTAATCATAAAAACAAATACTCTATGTAGTTATGGGTCTGTACATTTATAGATCACAAGACATCAAAATATTAACATCAATGACACATCAATGTTTGGAATCTATTGTACGTGTAATATGGAACCTATGTGCTTATGGTGTTGGCCACATCATTTTTGCATAAATAGTAGAATGTTTTGCATTATTCTTTTTGTTATTGTTGCTATTTTTACAGACATCTGATGTTGCTAGATATTTATTATTTGCAGACAGGAAAAAGTATCCAGTCAAACGTGGAGGTATTATTACAAATATAAATATTACTGCAACAGATATTAATGTAATAGCACTCCTGAATATTACATTAAGGTGAGGAGAATAAAGGAATTGATCACCAACTAAAGAAGCTCTTCAGTTTTAAACAACTTTTCCTTATCAGCATTTTAGTCAGGGGTTTCATTAATGTTTCCAGCAGGAGGGTAACTGGTTTTCAATGGACGGCAAAACTTTTTAAACTGAACTTCTTTATAAGATAGACTTTCCTCCAGTTCACCTGCAAACCATGTGGGCAAAACTGTCCTCACAACCAGTCAATCTGCACAGTGCCCAGCCTTTAATGATACCCCTGCTTGGTAACTGCTTAGAGAACAGTGTAAAGAGTATGCACACTGATGTTAGGGTGTAAAGGGGCCCGAAAGAAGTAATCATCAAAATCAAGGGAATGGATATGGGTTTTCCATTGTAGTGAAGTACTGGTAATTTGTCCCACAATGATAGTTACTTTTGCTGTAGATTGTAACTGCAATAATTCTGATATACACGTAGCCACAGATGTTTATCACTATAGAAGATGGCAGTACTTAAATTCTGATATACATGTAGCCACAGAGATGTTATAACATAACCAAAGTAAAGCGCGTGCTCTGATTGGTCAATTTAGTGTCCCCCATTTGCCCATGGGTGTATGTTGCTGAGGTGAGCAAATGCAAAGACTATTTTTCCATGCGCACTTGTTTTTTCTGGTCACGTAAGATTTGTTAAATAAAAGGGAACTCTTTAGCTACAATGTATCAATGTTATGTTGTAAAACAAATGGTAAACACCACAGCGTGCACTATTGAGTTATGGATGCACTTGGGAGGTTTGCTAAGCACTCAAGAAGATAGAGTTGCTCTTGGCTATCGCCTTGAGCGACTCTTACGCTTCTTTTGTGCTTAGCAACCTCCCACGTACATCCATAACTCAATAGTGTACATTGTGGTGTTTACCATTTGTTAAATATGATACTTCATTACTGTGTTATCATTTTTCAGTTACCCGGAACAATATAACAGTCTCACCCCCCCCCCTCCAAAAGAAAAAGGGTATTTTCACCCAAAACCTCTTATTCTTGTACTTTTCATAATTATGATCTTTGCATTACACTTTTTGTTCATTATTTTTTGTATTTTAATGTCACTGAAGACTATTTTTTATTTTTAGTATCATCGAGCTTTAGTAAATTGTGATTTTTTTTTTTTTATTTAATTCTGCTTAGTATGTGATCTACAACTATTTCAGATATAACCAAGAATGTGCTAAAGGAACATGCAAAATCGTATAATGAAATATTGGACCATGCCAGGAAAAACTTAAAGAAGGTAATGATACAACTATAAAGCATTGTTTCAAAATTTACTTTGACTGCATGTTTACCTTAATCCCTTATCAACTGACAATTGATATCCAATTAATCATTTCCTATGACCACTGATACAGTGGAGCAGTGCCTGTCAATAGAAATTAATGATTTCTTTTGTTTTTCATGACCCTGCTATTTATCTTTTCTCAAAGTGGGTTTATTATTAATGGAATAGGAATTTTGCATCCGAATAACACACTTTTGAAATGAATCTGCCATGCTTTTCAATATTAAGTAAAACCATATAGTGTCAGACATCCAAGTTTGCTGTGAAAAGGTGATGGACGTGTACTTCACATACACTAAACTTATCCATTACCAAATACCAAATTTATTTTCTCATTTTTCTATTCACAGGTTTTTGGAGTAGATGTAGAGGAAATTGAAGTAGGAAAGTCCAAAGGTTATATTTTAGTGGATGGCATTAAAACTGAAGAACAAAATGAACTGACCGACTGGTAATTCAATTAAAATTTCTTATTTCCATTTTGTAATTAATAATCGGTCAGTGTAAAATGCAGACTGCAGACTGCAGACTACAGACCAGGGGTAAAATGCAGACTGAGGGTAAAATGCAGACTGCAGACTGCAGACCAGGGGTAAAATGCAGACTGAGGGTAACATATTAATAATTAAAAAAACGAGTCTTGAAGATGAAATAAAGAGTGTTTGTACCTGTAAAATAATGTCACGTCAGGACTCATGAACCACACAAAGGCCGCTTCCTGCAGTATAAAAGTCACTTCGTCCCCAAGTCACATGGCACTATAAAATGTCGGAAAACGAGGATGACAATCTCATGGTAATTTTGGATAATTTGCATTAATGACTTTCATAAGCTATGCTTGATACCTACAAGTTTACCTTGCCTTGTTGTTGTGCTGTCGTGTTTTGCTTGCCTTGTCTTCCAAACAATTCCAAGGCCATATGAAGAATTTGAACTCTGAAAGAGTACTCAGTCCCAGACCTATTTGCGAAAGCACAATTCAAAATGGCCCTCATGTAAACAAAGGTAAGATGCATAGCCTTACAATCAGTTTGGGCACTTTTGGGAAACTTGGTTTAACAAAATGGGAAGTTCAAGAACTCGAGGTTGATAATATGTTTGACTAAGGCGAATATTTTGGTTTGAGTTCTCGGGATTTTGAAAAAAAATTACGGGTACAGGTAGGAACACTCCCAATTAAGTCTTGTTTTTTATTATTAATATTTTATTTTACCCTCAGTCTCTATTTTAACCCTGGTCTGCAATCGGCAGTCTGCATTTTACCCCTGGTCTGCAGTCCGCAGTCTACATTTTACCCTCAGTCTGCATTTTACCCCTGGCCTCTGCAGTCTGCAGTCCGCAGTCTGGGTTTTACACTGTCCAAATTAATAATTCTCCTTTCTATGCTGTCATAATTCTATGTAAATTGATGGTTTAAGAGAATGTGGTCATCTATCAAAGTATCACCTTCTAACTCTTAACCAATTTGTTCTAGCAAAAGACAGAATTTCTCTTTACAATATTAATACATTATTTTACATCACTCACAGCACCCGTGGGCGAGATGAAGTGAATCCTGTGTTCTGATTAGCTACCGTAGCAAGCAAGATGAGCCCATCTTGCCTGCATTGATCCCATTCATGAAAAAAATTAAATTACAACTATGTTCATACTTCTTGAACAATTTCGGCGATGGAATCACAAAAAGCAACGGAAGATAGTCAAAACCTAGAAAATAGAAATGTCTGCGCGACTCTTGTAAGTTTGTTGTGCTACAAACACAGTTGGCTTAATTTCTTTCCCGGCTCTCAAAGAATATATAGACAAGTCATTCTTAATTCTTTGATAATGAAAGCAAAGTCTTTTTGCAATATAATAAATCCTTTATTAACTAAGCTTCTCCGGTCAAAATGGCTGGATGTTAGTGAGAAAAAAGAACTCAGCCAAAAGTCCATTTTACAGTTGTGTGCTTGGTTGCCAAGCCTTTGAATGGGAGTGAGGCTAGGGTTGACCTTGTTATGATACAAACCTTGCTGCCTTTCAAATGTAAATCACATTGTTATCATGCTAACTAGATACAGGTCTCTATCACAACAAGGTCATCTTTAGCCTCACTCTGAATCAAAGACTTGGCAACTAAGTACACAACTGTAAAATGGCCTATTATCCAGCTATCTTGACCACATGCTTGGTTATAATAACACATATATCAAGCAGACAAGTAAAGAGAATAAAGAAAATTTATATCAGTTAGGGAATCATAAGTTGATTCTTTTTCAAATTCTCAGAACTAACATTATTGTACGGGAGATAGCAAGGAAAATTATAATAATAAAATCTTGGCAGTGAAAGGGTTATAATTCTCACCACCCATGATGTGTTAATTGTCAGAGAAGTTAAATTTTTAATTTCTCCTAGGAAAAAGATTTTCTTTATTAACTGTTTCATAGAAGACCTTCCAGTGAGAGTCATATCTTCACTTGTCTTCACCAACAGTACCTTTTCTTGCATTAATTGTGTTTCAGGGGTGACGATCTTCCCAAGATGGGTCTGTTGATGGTTGTGTTAGGCATGATTTTTATGTCTGATCATGTGCTCACTGAATGTAAGTATATTATATCTGAGGTACAGTTAATTTGAGGCACTGCATGGGTCTATATCCATCACTATCATAAGTATTTCTGAGTGGTAATTTGGCTCATTAATCTGAGTTGTGCCATAGTTGTACATATATGTATTGCTCGGCCAGCATTATAAATAAGTGTGTCCTAATGAATCATTTCTGAATCAATGGTTGTTAGCTGCATGTCTGTTGAACTCCCTGGTACAGTACACGCAGCATACAGCTTATGGAATGATCAGACTTACATAATATTGTTTGGTATTATTTTGTTTCCATCCAGCTAAACTTTGGCACATGCTGAAGAAGCTTGGTGTAGAACCAAAGTAAGTGTGCAATGAAAGGAAAGATAACTGCCATTGTTTTTGTGACAGTTTATTGTTAATTGTAGCCTTCATCACTGAAGACTGTCAAAAGTCAAACGACTCTAGTGTAACTAGCAAACTCTTTTGCATTTTATTTTGCACTATTTGGGGGGAAGTTAAAATAGCACTTTTCTCTGAAGAGGACTAAAAAATATATTTATCTTGTGGCACAACTAGTGCTCAATGCTTGTAAAATATTTAAAGTAGTTAAGAGGAACTCACCAGTGGCAGAATTTGTATTCTTACATCCCTGTCTCCATCAGACGTGTTTTCTTTTGTTTTCATCATAATTTATTTATTTATTTATTTGTTCCTTTGTTTGTTAGGAAAGAGCATGAAGTGTTTGGTGATTCAGAAAAGCTCATATCACAGGAATTTGTGAGACAATGGTGAGTTCTAGAAATTTACTTCGGGTAAGGGGTGATCATGACAACAATCCTCAGCAGATCCTTAAGGAAGGTGCAGACGGTTGGAGTGTGTGGACCCCCCCCCTCCTCCCCCCCTCTCCCATATCAAACTGACCTGTGGATTTATTAATACTAACAGTGTCTGACACCAATATACTTGCCAAGAAAAGATGGCATAATAGATACTCCTGGGTTGATTTTTGTGAGTGTGTGTAAGTGCAAATGGAGGAGGGGGGGGAGGTGTTGTGGGTTAGTTGAAAAGTAATAGCCCTTATCGCATTTGTGTCTGCAATGCAAAGGGTCCGCGGAGTTACACTTTCAGGACGAAGCTATCGGGTCAACGTTTCTCGAGAAACACCAGAAACACTCCATGTCTGACCATATGCATATAACTCTGGGGAATCTGCGCTTTTTTCTGCCGAGGAAAAGGTTAAAATTCTTAGTGGTAATTGTCCTGGCATCACGAAAGGAAGATTGAAAGAATGGCTGTCATTTCGGAAAGGAACGGCAAAATTTTGTCGCGTTTGTTCATGCGACTACGGTTGTTGTTCCTCTGTCGGCCTTGTGTAGGTTTAACTCAGCGGAGTCACGTTTCAAGGCCCTCAGCGCTTTGCGTTCGGCCGGAAGCAAATTATCTTTTGGCTTTGTAATTTCTATTTCTAAAAGGTCACTTTTAACCTCTTCTAAATAGCTTTCAAGGGCTACTGGTTGTTGTATTGGTGGTATCCATGTAGATTTGACGTGGCAGGAATGGGTTTTTTTGTCCTCCCCTCGGAATATGTAAATCAGACGCATCCTCCTTGCGAAGTGATCAAAGTCACACAATAGTTGTTGTCTGATCTGTTTCTGATATCTTGGGGGCGTTTTTTTTAATAAAACAATTATTCTAC